CATTCTATCGGAGAAAGAAAATATTTCAGAAACTTTACAACAATAATATATTTCTTCTAAAATTGATATGGAAATATTAATTTTTTGTTTCGTTTCTAATTGAAAAATTTTTAAATAATATATCGTCGATCCACTTACCAGCCATACATGATTCGTATTCGAAACTGAATTTCCAGATACTCGTAATCCAAATGCGATCACGTACGTCACATGTTTAACACTCGTCAATGAAAACACTTTGATCACATATAAATAAAATAATTATCTTGCTTTTTAACGATTGTATTAATTTTTATCTCTCTTTTTCTTCTTCTTCTTTTTTTCTCACTTTTTTTTTAACAAGACACTGTTTCTTAAATATAAAAATTTCACACGAACGAGACGAATAATTCTTTTTCACTATTTTCAAATAATTTCGATATACAAATTCTTTTTCTTCGTACGGTGATAAAAAAAGTTGACAAATATTGCATACAATTTTATTACTGTTTTATTAACACAAGAATGTTCGAGGATTAAAAAAAAAAATTAATTTTCAAACTATATATTCAAATTATATATTTTCGGATCGATTGTTCAAACGATTTTGCTATATTTGATACAAAAACGTTGATGAAGACGAGGATGAAAATCACGGAAGATACACAGATCCGTTTTAAATAAAGTTATCGCGAATCGAACGAGTTGTTGTAACTTTCTCATGCGGGCATTGATATCACTATCGAACATGTTCGTCGCGGCATCAATGTCACCGTATATTCTGCCAAACGACAAATGAAACGCTATGAATACGTAATTTTTTTTACGATAAAATCTGATAATTCAATATTATAATCATTTATATTTTACGATCAACATTTGGAGATGAATCAAAATCATCGAAATTCCGAATAAATTTAAAACGTAAATTTAACGTAACGTTTTGAATCTATGAATAAAAATCTATTTGAATTAAATTTAACAAAGATAAAGAATATAATTAAAAATTTCGAAAAATTATATATATATATATAT